TGTTGTCCCTGGGGTCGCGATGGGTCGGACACGACTTCACGACTGACAACAAGTTTGACAGAAATCAGTATCTCCTTTCTCCTTCAATGACAAAGTCAATCTATCCATTTCTGCACAGTCCAAGATCTTTTTTAGGATCCGTTCATCAGTGGGTGGTTCTTCACTTTTCCAGTGTTGAGCAAATGCAATTTTTATGTTGCATAACATTTTTATGTTATGACCTGCCAGCTAAGATTGATGGCAGTGAGATTAATTGAGTAATATTAAGTAATATCACGTTGCCTTGTTTATTCTGGGAAGAGATGAGTGTTCAAAGTACTTCATAAACATTATCAATTATCCTTAAAACAACAAAATGTGAGGTAGTTTCCCAAGAGACAATTTTTGAACAATAGCAGGATTTTCAGTATCAGAAATACGGGCTTGGTTTTCTTCTACCCAGCAACCTGAAACCACCTCTGGAACAGCCTATTACAATGATGGAGATTTTTGAAACTTTATTTTAGCCAAAATGGGTATCTTCTCATTGGGTATGAGCTGTGATCTAGACCATTACTGTCCTATATTGCAGGCAGAAGGCAGAGAAGCTAAACAGGAGTAACCCTGCAACAGGATTAAGACTTTAACTCAGGAATTCCTGGTTTTCAGTTTGGTCTCTTACCTACAGCCACAGGTTCTTTCAAAGCTAAAAATTTCCCAATGCAATTATTAAAGTTATTTTAAAAAGCACAAAGCATATCTCATCAGCTTGCAGCAACCAGATCAAACCAGGTTTTTTCTGCCTAAGTAAAATTTGTGACCATTTTTTACACCAGATGGGGATATTTTTTTTTAAGTGTCTTCCACTTGGGAAACTAATGCACTGCTTGCTGCTTGCAGTTATACTGACGTCAAAAATGAAGCCGGACAGACTGTTCTGTTAAAATGTTTCCCTGGGGACACCAATGAATCACCGAGAGCTTGATTGAGTGGACTCCATCTAGCAGAACGTAGCAATTCGTGTCCCAGCGGTATGACTAAACCAAAGGTTAAGGTGTGAGTTAGAAGGATAATTTGTCACGAACCTGGTGATTTTCAGATTACGGAATTGTCATGCCATCATCCTGCCATCTCTTTGCCTTTCAGCCATATGTCATACATAATGACAGAGTCCTACCAAAGCTCCAGAGAGAATCTGAATTTAACCGAGCAAGATCCATATGAAAAGTTCCAAAGTCCGTCCTTATATCAGGACAGGAAACTATGCACAAAATTGTGAGCGAGGCTGAGTCTCTCAAAAGGATTTCTTGATCTTGGAGTTGGAATTTTTTGATAAGGACCAGCACAGCTTGCTTTGCTGTATGTGTCATTTGGAAAATACCGAACTGAGCCCATCCAGAGTGGTATTCTACAAAAGACAGAAGATCCAATGTTGTGCAGATTAGTTCTAAATAAAGATGTTGCCAGATAGTGGACTATGAAATGTTACTATTGGGATGTAACACAAGAATGCTCTGAGCTGAGAATCACTGTCCCTCAGGTGCCACACGGAGGTGGGCAGAGCCCTGTTCTCCCCTGCAGAGGAGGGCAGGATGCGCTCCAACAGAGCCAAGCTCAAGGAGCCAAGGCTCCATTTGGATGCCAGGAAGTTCTTCCTGACAGTCGGGACACCGAGGGTGTGGAATGGGCGGTGATGGAACCCCATCAGTGAGGGTGTTCAAGGACAGGCTGGACATGCACATGGTGGGCATGTCGTGAGTGGAGCCGGGGGACAGACTAGATGGCCCAGGAGACCCCTTCTGACTCGTTCTGCTTCTGTTTTTCAAATAAAGAAGGGTGGTCTTCAGTACCTAAAAACCATTCCAAGATCTGAAGAGGGACTTGAATCCTCACTGGCAAAAACTCAAGGGGCAAGCTTTACCCACTGAGGCAAGAATGTAATTCCAGTGGCTGTTTTGACTGCCACTTGTTTTTAAACTGCTGCTGCTGATGTATCCTTGTTCTGTGTCGTTCTTATTTATCTCTGACGCTTTCAATACTAAGTTGCGAGCCAACTTGGAAACTTGACAATGAAAACAACATCAGAGCTTCCTTTCAAATAAACAAACTATGAAATTGCACCCTGTTTTTCAGCTGGATGAAAACAGTCAAAAATTTTGTATTTTAAAAAGTAACACTGTCCAGAGGGTGGTCAGGATTGTATATGGCAAGGATATTCATGGCACCTTAAACGCTAAGGTGGGGCAGTGGGGGGGGGGGGGGGAGGGCCCCAGGAGAACATTTGAGGGATTATGAGATCCAGCAGAAGGCAGAAAGCCTCTTCCAGACCCCAGCGCCTCCCCAAGCCCCCTGCCGTGTAAAAGAACTGCATTGGTTGCTCTCTGAATTCCCAGGCCCAATTCAGAAAGGCCCAGAATGGGATGTTCTGGAAGACAGTGTAGGGAGAAGAGGGGAGAGCACTCTAGACATGCTCAAAGGCTGTCTAGAGGACAGTGGACAAACAGAAGGGAAAGGGAATATTCAGATCCAGCTTCATTCTGCACTGCAGGCAGCTGTCCGGTTGCAGGGATCAAAGGCTTCCATCTAACGAGGGCTCAGTGCTTCCAGCTGCACTCCAGCTATGGAATGCGCTCCTCAGAGAGGTCCGTCTGGCGCCAACATTATACTCCTTCCGGTGCCAGGTAAAGACCTTTTTATTTAACCATCATTTTAATAATCAAGGATTTTAGATGGCTTGAGATTTTTTATTCTCTGTTCTCACAGTCGAATTTTCTATTTTCTATTTTTTCTTCCTTTTCCTTTTAGTTGAGAATGTTCAGTTTATATGCTTTTAATAATTGTGGTTTTATTATTGTATTATTTTAATTTTATACTATCTAAGCCATCCTGGGTGCTTATGTGGAAGGATGGGGCACAAATGTTTGTAATAAATAATAAATAAATAATCCCATCTCTTCTGGCATCAGCTCCATGCATCTGATTAAGTGAACTACCAGCTACGTGAACTTGTGCCAGAATAAATCTGCTAGTTTCTAAGGTGCTACGAAATTCTTCGTTTTTCAAAAAATTAGGTGGTGTCCATTATCAGGCATTGCAGGAATGCAACCAGAGGGTTACCAGAGCATGGATAACTGTAGCTGTGTGATTCCAGTCTAGATAAGGACATCGTTATATACGGTTCGTGTGCTGAAATGCAACTTGGAACATCTGGATGCTTGCTCCTACCTGGCCAGGAAGCACCCTGGGAGATTTTGGACCAGCCGCCGACTCCCCAGGTAGCCTGCTTCACAGGCTTGTTGTAAGGGCCAGTGTGGCATCGTGGTTGGAGTGCTGGGCTGTGGGTTGGGTTTCCTACCCGGCCATGAAACTCACGGGTTACTGTGGGCCAGTCAGTCCCTGGCTTCAGACAGCATGATAAACTACTCAGAGGTGGAGTGTGGGTTGCTGCTAACCATGCTTTGTCCATGGAATATGGTTTATTGAGTTCTCCGAGCCCAGCCAAGGTAACAAACCACGGGTTAGTCACAATTCCCAACCCATGGCTTGTTGGCATGGCTGGTTTGAGGCAACATGGCACCTCCGGCTCCATAGCAAGCCACCCTCAGCCCTTACTCGGCCCTCGGGCGCAGGTCTTCTAAAGCGAGTCACTGACTCTCAGCCTCGCCTACCTCACAGGGTTGTTGTGTGGAGAAAACAGAGGGCAGGAAGACAGTTCCTCACAGCACCTTGGGTTCCTCACAAGAGGGAAAGAGACAGACTGTAAAGATGGTGCAATAGGAATAACAGGCGCAATAATATTGAAACCACCCTGTCAGGCAGAAATTCAGCAGGGGGAGCGCCTGCTTTGGTACTGCTATAGAGCAATGCTGCACGTGTCTACTCGGAAGTAGCTGCTCTGAACTCAGCAGGGTTGAACTCACATGTGAATAGGGCTGCAGCCCTGCCCCAGCTTTGGCGTGTGCCCGCCCTGAGCCCTGGGGATGCGGGGCAACGCCGTCCAACATGAACCCGCCAAAAGCCCGGCTCGCGCCCGAGCACGTTGCCACGGCAACAGCTCTCTCGCGCGCGCCCGTTGCCATCGCGACCGTCGAATCCTCGGGAGGCTTCGCTGCGGCGACGGGAGCGGCACGGATGCTGCGCCAGCAGCAGCAGCAGCAGCAGCAGCATCGCCGCGCGGGGGCTTGTGGGAAACTCCCTGAAGCAGCCGCTCGCTCTGGGCTTTTGAGAGACGCACACGCAGCATGAAGAGCCCGGGCTAGCTTTGAACCGGTCTTTTCCTTCTCCTCATCCTTGGCAGGTCCTTGTGTGGAAAAAAATATATCAATAGTGAAGGAATATTATTAATAATGGTTTATGTTATTTCTATAGCATCCAGAAGCACGTGCTCTCTACGCTACTTCCAGCCATTCAGAGGACACAAGAAGCAGATATAATGACCATAAATAACTCAGCTGCAAGAAATTTAATGGCCCGCATCTAACACAGGATAAGCAGCAAAAAGAATTCAAAACGTTTTGATGCGTTTTTCAGTATGGAAAAGCTCAACTTGTCTGACAGCAAGCCCATGCTCCCCAAGCATTCCGAATAGCTCCATGGGAATTGAAGTCCAACCATCTACTGCAAATACCAATGCATTAACTGGTTGACTGAATACTCAGAGTGATTCATAAGATCATCAAGAGTCTTGCGGCAGTGAGATTCATTGTCTTGTCATATCAAGATTGATAAAATCATGTTAGAACAGCAATTATTAGAATGGTGTTTAAACAAACAAATAAACAAACAAAAACATCTGAATGTTTCTAGGCAGCTCTAACATCGGAGGATCCATGAAGCTCTGCTCTATGGACGGCGCGACCAATCCCACGCACGTCCAGCAGTTTTCACGATACCAGCGACACTCTATCGAATCGTAGCTCTATATGCGAATGCGCGTCTCGCCTCGTGGCCGCGTCCCGATGACGTCCAACGCCCGCGCCGCGAGAGGCGGAAGTCGCCCGCGCGCGGCAGAGAAGCGGGGGGCGAGGCGGCGGTGATGGCGTTGGCGGTGGAGGCCGGGCCCGCGCGCCTCGTCCGCTCGGCCCAGAAGGACGAGCTCTACCGGGGCGCGCTGAGGAGCGCAGCCGGGGCTGCCCTCGGGCGGCTGGCCGGTGAGGGGCGGCTTCCGTGCCCTGGTCTCTGAGTGGGGGGGGGGGGGGCGCCAAACAAGAACGAACCCCAGAGGGGCTTCCCTCAAGGGTCCCAAGCGAGAACAGCCCTTCCTGCAAGAGGGGCCCGGGCCCACGCGCTCTGGGCGGCTTTGCAGCCTCTTGCCTGCGTTCTGGGCCAAATGGGCTGCGCTGAGATTAGCCGAGGCTTGACAGTCCCTTGGACTGCAAGGAAGACAGATCAGTCCATCCTAAAGGAGATCAGCCCTGACTGCTCATTAGAAGGTCAGGTGCTGAAGCTGAAGCTCAAAGACTTTGGCCACCTAATGAGAAGGAAGGACTCCCTGGAGAAGAGCCTGATGCTGGGAACAGTAGATGGCGAAAGAAGAAGGTGGTGGCAGAGGATGAGGTGGCTGGATGGAGTCACTGAAGCAGTCGGTGTGGGCTTGGGTGGACTCCGGGGGATGGTGGAGGACAGGAGAGCCTGGAGGAATGTTGCCCATGGGGTCGCGATGGGTCAGGCACGACTGTGTGACTGCGCAACAGCAAACAAGGCACGGTCCTGTGCAGTTCTAGGTCACAGGGGAAGCCATGCTGGCTGCGCCATGTTGAGTGGCAAGCCTCTTGTTTGGTCCTCATTATGTGCCTCCTCGTATTTAAAAAGGTGCTTTGGTTCAGACTGAATGGTACAGTTGTGCATGGATTATTTGAGAAGGCAGATTTCAGGTAGAAGCTGGCATTTGCCCCTCTTCAATTTCATTCCAACCTATCAGGAACATTTTGAATGTTTATTTTGGTTGGTTGGTTGATTGATTGAACTTCTGTGCTGCCCCATTCGCCGAAGCCTCGGGGTGGCTCACAAACATAAATATATAACATCCTATAAAACAATATAAATTAAGTTGCCCTGGCCAAAGAATAAAATAAATAATATTAACAATTAAAATAACATTAAGAATGTTGTTTTTGCTTCCCGAATATTAGCTCTTCCATTACTTCTCCCCAGTTTGAGAAGTTGCTGTTGATAAGCATTCTTTGTGCCGATTCCATAGCCAACTGGATCCATCCGATAGTTGTTCCATCTAGTCCAATTTTAACTATTTTGCTAATCAGAATGTCATGGGATATTTTGTCAAAAGCTTTGCTGAAGTTGAGGTGTATTATCCCACAGTCCACAAGGAAGATTATCCAAAAACTGAAATCAGATTAGTTTGGCAGGATTTGTTCTCAACAAATCCATTTGGCTTCTAGTACTCGCTGCATTGTTTTTAAGGTGTTGCAGACTGACTGTTTTGTAATCTGCTGCAGATTTTCCCAGGGACTGTTGTCAGCCTGACTGGTCTGTAGTTCCCAGGTTCTTCCTCTTTCCCCTTTTTGACAATGGGAAAAACATTAGCCCTCCTCCCATCATGCTCTCCGTAAGTTCTCAAAGTGGTTCCGAGGGTTCTTCTGCCTTTATTACTTTAGGATGCAGTTCATCAGGCCACGGAGAGCTTAAGTTCTTTTAAAATGATTAAGTATTTGCATTTTCCCTTATTAAACATTAGGATTAAAGAATATCCAGCTGTACAGTATGCAGGTAGCTTATGAATTTCGTTACACAATTCTGTTTGTGTGCAAGCCACTCATGGCTTCGTGCATTTACATTCTTAATTTTGAAACTGCTTTGCAAGGGTCCATTTTAGTATAAATGAATTATATATATAAACATGATGGTAGAATTCTCTAGAATAAATTCAAATTCTTTTATTTGCTGTGCTTCTTTAGGTGCCAAAACGTGGTTTGAATGGCAGAAGGAAATTGACTTGCTTGCTGACGTTGCGTATTTCACGCTCACTACCCTTACTGGTAATTTTTCCCGAAACTGATTAGTGTCTGGTGCTCTTAAGTATGCTACAATTTTGCATTTATAATTTTAATTTCCACCTCTTCAAAAATAATTCCATCTGCCACCATCCTTTTCTTTTGCTTTAGGTTACCAAACTCTAGGTGAAGAATACGTCAATATCATCCAAGTGGACCCTTCAGGGAAAAGGGTTCCTTCATTTCTTCGACGTGCTGCCCTGATTTCTTTGCACACCGTCTTGCCTTATTTGTTAGACAAAGGGTTAGTCCACCTGGAACACGCACTTGAGGCCGAAAGTGATGGGGCCAGAGCTCTGCAAAGCAGGCACTTAAGCAGGTTGCGGGACAGGACTCTCTTACGGGGCTGGTTGCAGAAATGGCTTCGCAGATTGACCGAGCAACAGAAGAAGATGCTCAGCCAGGCCGTCTCCGTGCTCAAGCAAACTGTTCCACTCCTTCGTCGACTGCACTTGGCCGTATTCTATCTGAATGGCGTCTTCTACCATCTGTCTAAAAGAGTGTCAGGGATTACATATGTAAGTGAAAAGTATTTGGAGGTACCTTTGTCCTGTATGCTGAACTTCTTGGCTTTTGTCGTATTTTTCCTAGGTACTGGGTAGTGCTCATTTTCACCCAAGAAATGGCACCAAAAGGAATAATGTTCTGCCTCCAGACAATTGAATTAGCACGGAGTGTCTCTGTCATTTGTCTTCCAACTCTCCACAGCGATGGATGAAAATATTCTGTGGACTTAGGTCAACGCAAACTTGACTTCTCCCAACGTCCTCATGGTGCCACCTCATTTCTTTGCAGAGATTGCTTCCCTGAGCAGTTAGGAGTTGGAAGCACTTATCATCCTGCTGTTCGGCCAAATAGGCTTCTGCAGCAGTTTACAAGGAATAATATGGCAGTCCTGCTTTCAGCCCTGCAAATTAGAAAGGGCCAAAGTGTTTGCAGTTGCAGTCTTTATGCATGCAAGCAGCTGGTGTATACCCAGAGTACATGCAGTTTTTTTTTCCCCCACCAGCTACGCTTTGCAGGATTGGCTGGAGATGACCAGAACATTCGGTCAAGTTACAGGCTCCTTGGGACTGTTTCGCTGCTGCATCTGTTCCTGATGATTGGCATCCGCGTGTACAGTTTCCAGCAAAGGCAGAGGACAAGACAAGACTGGAAGCTACCCCGAAACCTCTCCAGTCAGATGTAAAACATTTCTGCCATTGTGACAGAAAGGGAAGCTGTGAGGAGGAGACTACTAGAGCGGTGTATTAAACAAGAGGGGGCGAACAGCTAATATTAGCAGTGATTTTAATTGCAACTACTAAAGAGTGGCAAACCTGTACCACCAAATTACTGTTTTATAGTCAATTTAGTCTGCAGTTGCTCTGTTGTAACTATTTCGGATTGCCACATTTGGTCTTCTAGCACACGCAAATTTGAAAAAGAAGATAACCAGAGGGCATTATAAGCCCATAAGGAAAAAAAAGCAGCAGCAAACCACCAGGAATTTAGGTTCCTGGCACCATAAATGAGCTTCTGAGCCTTGGGCCCTTCCTCCTGCCAATTGCCAGGTCTAGAAACATACTTGGGGTGTGTGTTGGACGTAGAATCCTAGCCTGCTGTTGTGTTTCATGCTCGCATCTTGCCCACAGAAGCGTTTTCTTCCTCGGCGTAACCTGAGGAGGGAAACTGACGGTGCCTGCCTGTCTTCCACAGGACCCAGCCTGAGGAGGCGCTCCTCAGCCGCAGCTCGTGCTGCACGCTGTGCTTGGAGGAACGCCGCCATGCCACCGCTACTCCGTGCGGACACCTCTTCTGCTGGGAATGCGTCGCCGAATGGTGCAACACCAAGGTGAGTGCCGGCGCCAGCTCGGCGACTCCTGCCTGCTTCTCGGAAGCACAGCCACCACTAGCTCTCTGCCTTTCCAAGTAGCTGTGCGCAAGGTTAATGGCCGAGACCCTGTGGAGCCACTACTAGTCCTTAGAGCAGACCTGGGCATCGTACAGCCCGCGGGCCACATCCGGCCCGATGGCTGACCCTGACTGGCCCGCAGGTCACTGGCAAATTAAAAGTCAATGCAAATATGGATCGTCGTAATAGAGATGCAAGCGATACAGCTGCACTGCTTTTATTTTGAAGGATCTGCTAAATTGAATTTATTGCTTTTCATGTGATGTTAATGTTTTTGTGAATATTCATTAAATAGGGTTGTTCTGTGCTCCACATTTTCATTGTGTCATTGTAATGTTTCATTTACTGTTTTTATAGAGAGAGATATTGAGCAGAGCGGTAAGTGTATTGGTGCAGCCCTTAACAACTGTCAAAGTTTCTCATGTGGCCCCACAGGAAAATTAATTGCCCACCCCTGCCGTAGAGGCAAGAGCGCCAGGTGGACCAGTGGCCCGTTTCCCATTCCCGCGCAGTCTTTTCTTCAAGGGCAGATCGATTCCACGAGCCATCTGCTTCATTATGTATTATCCCGAGAATCCTAACACTTGAAAAGTGGTGCAATTCTCTTTAAATCTACAGTAGGAGTCCAAACAGGATTTTGAGAGGCTAGCTCTTAAGCAAATCTTAGTCCTGAAGCTTCTCAAAATTTTAAAGAGATGTTTGCCCACTATTTTAGAGAAGGCGGGATGGGGGTTGGAAGTTTCTCTGAACATGTCCCATCCCTTTTTTCCCTCTTGCAATGCCCCAGAAATAAGTGAAGGACTGGAAGATGCAAGATGGGGGCAAGGCTGCTACCAACTGCTCAATATTGAGCCCCACTCCAGCCTGAAAATCTGTTGGAAAATCACTTTTCTCCCAGGGAAAAATTAAGTGGATGGGCTCCTTCCAATTTTTCTGCTCACAAAGAGGGTAGACAAAGTCAGGTCAATCGAGCATGGCATTAGTTTAAGGTGTTTTAGATGTCTGCACTTTCTAACACGCTGCTTTACTTCTTTCCCTCCACCACTCCCTACATTTTACAGGCCGAGTGTCCACTCTGCAGAGAGAAATTCCACCCACAGAAGCTGATTTATCTACGACACTACCAGTGACAGCGGGCTGTCAGACTGTGAAGTGTTGGAAGCCAACGAAAGTACAACTTCTGATCAAGTGCAAGACTTTATTTTGATACTGAATCATTGTGATAAACCAAGCAGTCAAGTACTGTGTTTCACTGCTTGTACAAAGAGAGATGAACCTGTCTCTTGACGCTTGTGATCCTTTTAAGTTGTAGAACTCCGTATTCAAGGTAAAATTCTGATAAACCTTTTGACATCTTGCTGGCATCTGCCAGGTCCACCGCTTTTGTAAAATGACTTTTCCTACCTAAGAGGCTGCTGAGAATGTAATTGCCATTGATAAAAGTTCTGCTGCATCTTGAAGCTGAGATTTCCAGTTTCAATATGCTTGGAGTGGGGAGGCCGGCATCCTCTTTGCCATCTGGCAGCTCCATATGCCCATTTTTAAAAGCAACAACTGAGGTTCCCTGTTATGCCTTGATGCACAGGATTGTGATCTACTTTCAGGAGACACATTCAGTTTTGCCCAGCCCTATGCTGTGTGCCACAGTTGTCAGCAGCACATGATACAAACCGGTTGCACGCACTAAAGAGCACAACAGCAATATTATGCACTGAGAAAGAAATTTTCTTAGAGGCACGAAAGTTCACTTCTGTGCTGCCGCGCCAGGAAACCTGCACCTCAGGACCCACGCAGGAGTGTGTGTGGCTCGTACACCACAGCACATCAAAGATGGGTGATGCCATTCTGGTTATTTGCAAGCTAAGACAGGCCTCTGCCTACTTTTGCTCTACTGACTTGGTTCCTTAACACATTCCAAGATCCAGTTTAGAAACAGACACACAGCTGTGAATTCATGCTCGAATGTATAGCACAGGTTACTCTCCTAATACCGTACACTAAAAGACTTTTTGTAATTAAGCTCAAATGATCCAGGGGAACTCACTTCAGCGTTGAGGATGAAAATTATTAATTGTCATTTATTTCCTTACTCGATCATTTGCAGTTTGATATTGCTTAAGGAGAATGTCCCAAAATACTGGTTAGAACTCACCAGACAAAAATACTCATTTCATAATGCTGGACGGGGAAATTCATTCCTATGGCACAGGGAACTTCATATTTCTCACTCTTACCAAATACAGTGTAAACATTTCCATTCAGGGTTGGTGATAAACAGCTACCATTGTTCTGACAATACTCTTTGTACAAAAGTGCAAAGGGCTATTTTGGGGGGGAGAGCGCTCAAATACAATCCACCAGATTGAGGCTCTTGGGAGAAAGGTGGGAGGACAAGTTACCAAGAAATAACCCAAGAAAGGGACACTCGCTTTTAATAAAGTTTGGAATTTAAAAAGTCACTTAATAAAATTGTTTATAGCTGTATCACATCAAAAAAGTTTTACATGCAAGTAATTTATTTCCATATTTTTCTCCATAGAAAATTAAAAGCTGTGTTAAAACCCACAAAGTCTCGTCTGCCATGGCCAGCTTAGATGTGTCTTGGAAAGGGCTACATGAAGCAAACTTAAGTTAAAAAAAATCTTTATCAAAGAAATGTGTCAAAATACTCTTCCCCTAATAATTTTATATATATATTTAAATATATATATATAATGATAATTCCAGGCCTTCAGCAAAAAAAAAAAATCATGATCATTAAGAATATTGGGTCATTATAAGAGCCAAAAATCAGCCTCTTCTTCACCATGGAAGCTAAAGAAATTCCTCTTCCATTTTGGAAATCAACAATTCAGGGTAGGCTTATTTTAAATTCGGTGTTTTCCCTCCAAGTAAGATCACAGAGGTACCTGCAGCGCTAGAGATCTAAAACGGACTTCTAGTTCAACCTGGGATATTACAAAACATAACACAAACTCACTGCGTCCCCTTTTCCTCGATGTATGTACAAGATGCATGTTGGACTGGAGAACTGAGAGGACAAAAATAAATAGACCCACGAGAATTCTCATTCCGCATGGTGTGCCCTGAAATGCGGATTCTCTGCCTTCAAAGTTACTTCCACATACTTCTCAGCCTTGCTGTACACACACAACAATGGCATTTCTGGTACGCACAGGTAGCTCCTTACTGGACTGGTGAAGCGGGACCAAATGATTCGTGAATCTGACGGAGCCAGCTGTGTGTAGTTCCTAGGATGACTCATGCAACTGTGGGAGCACAGGATGACTTGCTTCTACCCAAAGAAACAACGTCTGGACGGGGATAGGCTGTTCTTGAACATGAGAAACAGAAATGTGCTGCCAAGAAACTAAACCCCAACCAAAAGACATGTTTCAGAAGATGCCAAAGTTCTCCTGCAATACTTAGAAGAAAAAGCCTAACCCACAAGAAACCAAAAAGGAAAAAAAAATACATCTTCTTAAGCACCATTCTCTTACTGGTGACTTAATATGAAGGAAAGAGGCATTGTTACAATGGCTCAAAACTGGTCTTTTAATTATATTATAGGAAATTGGTCAGCAGGCTCAAGTTTGATTTCTAGCTAGCAAAGGTCTTTCCCACATCTTCCTTCCCTTTGTATTTCCTCTTGCCATGTGTGAAGGGTATATATCGATATTTAATCATATGCTGCAACAAGAGAGAAAAAACAAACAAGATTTAAGGACAAGCCCACCATAATACCTTAAATTAAAGGTTAAAGTTCTCCATGCCCTCAAGTTTCATAATTAGGAAGAAACCATTTTTTTTAAACCTCCCACATAGAAGTCTTTCTGTTCCAGCAAGACCCACCACCCCTGCAATGACTGGAAAAATCACAGCCTAGAAAAAGATAAATATCAGTCTTCCCATCGGGTTCTTACTTTGATTTGTCTCTTCATTGTGATGCAGAAAAGCATAATGAAGTACATCACGAGAATCGGCCAAAAAACTGGAACGTTGAAAGCCTCGAAGAATGTACATGTCATTGCAACAAGGATGCCTTTAGTAGCAGAATGCCTTGGAAGGAAAGAGGGAAGGGACAGCACGGGGATTAGTATAGTGGTAACTGGAGAAGTTGGCGTGTTGTAGCAACTCGCCCCAGCAATAAGGCACTGGCTGGGGGGATAACCCATGATGCACCTGGTGGACAAGGGAAGGGTTGTCAGCAGCTGTCAAACTTTTTTATTATTCTTCAATGAGTGCATCAGGCCAACAGGCAGCTTTTTAAAGAAATTAAATAGATAATTTTTTTCCTTCTTTAGCCGTAATGTGCAGGACGGCAGTTACATGATGCAGAAATTGGGAGATGCAACCTGGACAATGAGCTAAAAAGGCTCTGAATAAGTTTTTTTCTTCCCTTTGCTTTATACTGGCAACTGTCAGAAGGGAAGGGAGCAGGGCGAATCAAGAGTGTGAGAAACCTTAGCTTGCAAAAAGAGAATTATGTGGTTTATACCCCCCCTTTTTTTCCCCTTTCCACTTTTACCCCTGCTTTCTCCTCAGGAAAGTACAAATGTGCATTCTACTCCTTTTATGGAGAAAAGGATTTTGAACAGCTAGCTGTCAAATCTCTGGGTCTAAAGTGGTGTTTTGACAGGACGATGGACAGTTTCTAACCGGAACATACAGTTGAATCATTTCGCATTTCTAGTCAAACTCACCAGAACTTGAACTCTGGAAGCCTTCGAATGAAGGGTCGGAACTCCTCATTTTGTTTTGTGGGTAATGAGGGGCCCTCATCTGGGGAGAGGAGAGAATGCAAAATCATTAAGGAAGCCGATCCTTCACAGGTCAGCTTAAATGGCAGTTATAGGTCAGCGGTATAGCTATAGCCTGGGATCTCCAATTACAAGAATATGGTAGTGGGGAATGGGAAAGCTACTAATGTCCCTGAGATCCTGAACTGCTGCTGCCAGTCAGAGTTGGCTGCACTGAACTAGATAGGCAATTAACAAGGCTTAAGGCAGGTTTTGATGTGGCTACCAGTGCCACATTTATATTCAGGATCAGTATAGATAAATTTTGCCCAAAATGGGACGCACAGCTCAACATTATCAAGGATGCCTATGTGGAAGAAAAGGCCCGGAACCCTTAAAAAGGCCAGAATGTGAATCAGTATAGTCCCAAGGTCACTGAAAACTGTTTTATTCTGAGGGAAAATTCTTTTTAATCTGTTGGGTGAGAGGGGAATAAATTGGGAATTCTAGCAAAGCTGTCAGCCTTTTTAAGGTCCATGGTCACTCAGGGATAGAAAAGCCAGTTTCTTTCTAGAGGCAGCCCTATGCAATTGGATACTCTTGAGTTCCACAATATGGGACTTAGAACTGCTGATTCTGTCTACTCAGAAGTGTAAAACGTGGTTACCACCATATTATAAAATTCAGGTTAAAGCTCAGTCCAACACCCGCCATGCTGCTGGGTTTAAGTACAACATACTTAAATGCTCCAGGTCCCCAAAATGCAACCTTTTCTAGTATGGCATATAATATATGCCTGCATCTAGAAATATTGTAGCGTTTGCACAAAATCACAGCATAACGAGCCAAGTTCTTTGTACCTGAATCTTCCATTAGAGAGGGATCTACCTTTGGCGACAAGAAAGCTATGAAAAGATTTAGGTGGTAGATACCCAAGGCATATGTCACGATATACCAACCCTGAAAAAGAGGAAGGGAAAAAAATCCAGAGACACAGTTTAATGTGCAGAACAGAACACAAATGCACACGACTTGTCCACTATTTAAGGTGTATGAGACTGTTGTACAGGAGGGTTTTCTGAAGCAGGGGGAGAATGTGAGGCGCATGGAAATGTGGCAGCCTCAGAACATATGACAAAATCAGAGGAAATAAGGATCAAATCAAGTAGATGCAAGGGGCAAATGCAGGGTGCGAAAGGAGGGCAGATGGCATGAGAGCAAGAAAGGAGAGAGGAGGAGAACAGTTTGCTGGGGAAAGTGGCAAAATGGCAGTGGCTTAAATATATAAATTATGAATAATGCAGGATGAGGAATGGGTGTGATGAATAAGCCCAGCCTAAACATTTCCTCAAGCAGATGCATTTTAGTTCTATAAAAGCACAATCCATACTAGCCAGGAAGTGCTAGGGCCTTTTCTGTCTAAACTTGCATAGAATTGGGTGCTAAAAGGAGTGCACACAAGAAGCTCAAACCGAATTCTGCTGTTCTGTCATAGATTTTGTTTTGTTTTGTTTAATTCATCTTTACAGACTGACGAATTTGTTTTTCTGGATTTATGTGTTTAGGTGGTTTGATAAATTGAAGTGCAAACAGAAGGACGGGGTATTGTTGAAGTATGAAAACAGAAGGGAAGAAGCAGCATTAATGAAAGCAGCACTTTCAAATCATGTAAAGTTCTAGTTCCCTTCTACTCAGCACGGGTCTGGCCTCATCTGGAGTCCCGTGTCCGGTTCTGAGCACCACAGTTTAAGAAAGATGCAGACAAGTTGGGAAGGGTTCAGAGGAGGGCAACAAGGACTGGAAGCAAAGTTCTATGAGGAGAGACTGAAAGACGTGGGCATATTCAGCCTCAAGAAGAGAAGACTAAGAGGAAACAGGAGAGCACTCGTCAAGCCCTTGGAAGGCCAGTACAATGAGGAAGGCAGGATCCCTTCCCCATCATTCCAGAGTGAGGCAGGACGTGGAATGACGGGCTCATGCTGCAGGAAGCCAGGTTCTGGCTGTTAAAGCAGTACGGCAATGGAACCCATGACCTAGGAAGGTTGTGGGCTCTCCCACACCGGAGGCATTCAAGATGCAACTGGACCACCATCCGAGAGGGATGGATTCCTCTCAGTCCTGCGACAGCAGGGGTTGGACCTGATGGCCCTCTTGGCCCCTTCCATCTCTACTATTCTATGATTCCCTGCACATCAAGCGCTTAAAATTACTTTAAACTGGCATTAAATTCAGAGAGCAAATGAACAAATTGACAATACAAACTTAAATGCTGTATCAAATCTAAAGCTGTAACAGATCTCTGAAAGTTAGCGATCGATGCTCATTCTTCTTACCTGCAGTAGATAAACTCTAATCATGTAGATAAAACTTAAACCCAATGTTACAACCCATCGCACTGCAGTATAAGGAGTAGATTTGTCTAACCAAGACTGGTAAATCTAGAAGAAACATGGACAGATGTATTAAGGTTATGACATTTCCATCCTGCCTTTCTGCCTCCTGGAAGGAACGCAAAGCAATACACACAATTCTCCCCTCCGATTCTCACAGGAATAACCCTGTAAGGCGATTTGGGCCGAGAGTCCGTGACTGGCCCGAAGTCGCCCCCTGAGCTCCATGGCTGAGCAGGGACGAGAACCTGGACCCGCCAAGACCCAGTCCAGCACTGCGGCCAGTGTCTCAGTCTCCACACTGGACATGCACCCCATGGCGAACTGCAAGGGCACAGCATCGCCTGTCAACGGAAGTCACTACACAGACACTGAACGGCTCGTCAGCCCAGGGGCGATCCTAGACTGCTGCAAGACGTGGAAATGCAGCACAACTTTAGACAGGACTGCACCATGGTACAATCTGGGGGGTGCCCACAGTCCGGTCAATACAAGGAGTCGATCAAGGTAAAGTCACTTCCCCTGCACATCTTGTGCTCCTTTGCTACCTGCCGTGGCTAAGTGCAGGATGACGGTGTGATTGGGCTGTAGCCCCTTTCAAGGCCAGCATCGGGGTGCCCAACCAAGACCCGCACCCACAGCAGCCCGCGGCCAGTCCCTGAAACCTCCTGGCCCTGTGCCGTTCCTTGCCGTGACCACCTGGGCACTAGTGGCGAGACCATGCAGCTTGCACCTTGCCTCCATGTGGCTGCCCAGTTTGAGCCGAGAGGAGAGTGAATGAGTGGGCAGCAGGCCAGAAACAATGCAGCATTTTGCCCCAGTTCCTCCCTACTTTATAGCCGGCACTGATTCCCTTCCGGAAGTTGCCATTTTCAGGCGCCACGCTGGGACCCTCTGGCACAGAGTTTCCGAATCCCTCAGCCACTTCGGTGGAACCCACCTGCCCAAGTCTTGTGAAAAATCGATACACCACTGAAGGTTTGCCGTGGATGGACTCGCCAGCACTGTCCCCTTCTGACATGGTTGCTCTGAAAAGAAAGGCAAGAACACAAGCACAGGGTCGCCTTAGCACGTTGTGCTGGCACCAAGGTTTAAATAAGGATACCTGGATATTTACTGGAAACGCTTGCGGTCGCTGATCCCGGTCAAGCTTAGATCCACATAAACTACTGAGCTTTCTGAAGGGGGAGGGGCATAATAGGGATGCAATAAAATGCTTATTTTCTTCAAACAGTTTCTAAGGACCAAACTTGATGTGACATTTAACATGGTTTTGCAGTTAACGTGGAACAACCACTCCCCGGCAGCTGGCTTACCTTCTTTCAGGCACCAGCCAAAAGTTATTTTGTGCACTTCAAAAATGCCGTTTTTTTCCTTATCGCCTTGCTGCCAATTTCAGTGATTTAAACAACTGTGCATTTTATTATTGCAGTGTTTCAATCTCTTACAAAGCACCATGGAGAAGGCTTGAGCCAAAAGGCGGGAGAGCAAAGCTTCCAAACCACATGAATTAAACAAGGTTCACTACGTAGCTTTGGAAGCAGTACAAAAGAGTTTCACAGTGCCTTGTTTGGGCACCCTCATTCCAGCCTGGAGATCTGCTGTCAAAACCACAGTGACTCTGTTGCCCATAGTGCTGTGCTCTGCATCAAATGGAAGGCTAGCCTTCCATCAAAACGCAGGCAGTACATGTCCAGAGCTGAAACCTTGCCAGTTCCATCTCCTAACGCTACAGGGCCTGACAGTTCAAAGACTTTACTAGAGTGCTTTGGCAAAACGGAATGAAAACGTGAACAAAATGTATATTCCTCAGTGATTCTGGTTTACTGCACTCTCTTTAAGCTGCAGCTAAGTCTGCAGAGTAACTGCCACATCACCCAAAGCAATACCTGACACGACTTCCTGCTTTGTCAGCCCAAGGGGAGGAGCTATGGGAGGAAGGGTGAAAGTAATTCTACACTCGGGCCCCCAAAGCGAGCGTGAAGCACTCCGGAAGGAGGAAATGGGGTCAGAAACTCAGGGGAAAGGACAGCATGGCCAGAAGCACCTCCCAAAACAAAGCAGAGGGAAGGGGTCTGCAAATCAACAAGGATGAATGATTTCAACGTATCAATGAACAATTCATGCATGTTTCACTTCCGGAGTCCCACTGAAAGAAATGAGATCATGCCTGAGAGAAGGGGCTGGCTGACAGCCCAAAGAGAAATCCGCTCCGGCTGCCCAGCAACTTACAAGAATTGATCTTCCGGTCTTCAACAGAAATATTTCAGGGCGGCTTAAACCAATAAAGTGGAGAATACACAATAAAACAAAGGAGCAGGCAAAAGCAGCCAAGAAAGACCTCTGGGTGTGTGCCAAGCACGCTACCGAGGGGAAACATTCCACCAGCCAGAAGCCCCTTGCCCCTGCTACGGTCCCTCTCAGCTTTCATGGCGGAGGCACAGACACACGGAGCTAGTCACGCAGCTCCGTGGTGGTCCAGGCCCCGTGTGCGGAGGTCAGACAAATTTCCCAATCAGGATCAGGAGAAGGAAAACATTAGCTCACTTCACCAACACCTTGAAGACAGCAGACCACCACCCCATAAGCAGCAAAGAACGGAGGCAAACTGCTTCTAGACACGGGGTTCCATCTAGCTACCCCGAGTTCAACCTGCAAGAAAATGCCACCACGCACCCTCACCTCCAAGAGACCGTGCTCCTGTTTTGGGTCCCTACTAGCCGGTTCTCTCCTCCTTCAGGACACCATAAACAGTAAACAGTGCATTCTGCACCGCACAACCACAACTCCCGCTGTTCTTTCTCCTCTGACGCTTGGCAGTCCCTGCCAATTCACCATGCGCCTTCCTCAGCAGGCGTTTCCATGCACTCCCCCCTCCATTTGTCTTGGCTTCTTCTGAATTACAAAAGGTTTCTACTTTTACACATTTCAGGGTGGTTCTGAGAATGCAAATACCTTCCCTCTTGCTGTTCAGCGCCAAATTTTGGTTCCAACCCTATCAGCACTCACTACTTTCGCTGGCTGTTAGAGGGAGCAGTCACTGACAGGTACTAGCAGCCCCAGCATTTGAAAAGAAAACTTGCAATTTCAAAAAGTTCACAGAAACTCACAAGAAATAAAATATGCAGAGATTAAAAATATTACCTAGAATAAAGAACTAAAACAGGGTGACTTGAGAGAATAAGCAATGGAGCAAAAAACAAAAAGATACAACAGCATGAAAGCAAATTTTGACAAACTCCGCAAACTACCGAAGAGCTTCTTATCCTCGGCTTCACCTTTCAGCCAGCTACAATGTGCTTTATACTCATTCAGCAGCTGTACCACATTTTGGTCAACAAGTCACCCATAAATAGCCTGGAAATTACCCCAGTAACCGAAAAAACCTGAATTTGCCTATTCACCTACTACAATGCTGTGGTTAAAACCATGATGGGCGTATAAAATCCCCCAGGCTTTGCCCCTGATGTCCCCAGTTAAAAAGATCTAGCCAAATCTTGCTGAGGGCTGAAAGCGGAGTTTTACTCTCAGATTCTGAAGCCACTATTGGAGTGGATCAATACTATTCTAAGCCTGTCACATGTTCTTGTACCTCCTTTACAGAGGGGAAAACTATTTCCAGAAATGAATAATTTCCCCATTCAGTTTGTGGCTTCTGACATTAAAGAATACATTTTACGTCAATCTTATTTGTCTGTTTCTGCAAGCCTCCTTCCATGGAGGTTAGTGATACAGAACTTAGTCTGAGCTGACATGTGCAACTCAGAGCTATAAGTTACTCAAAGTACAATCTCTTTCCAAGCCTTCTGCTCTGTCTTCAACCACTTTAGTTTCTAAACCCAGCTGGATCCAAATCTATGACAAAGGGCTGCAGTGGTGAAAATACTCGTAGAAACTTTCCCTCTCTTGGAAGGGTATCAACAATTACGAGCCCTTCTGCACCACTGGTGCAAGACCAGATGCGACTGGGGAAAGGGGAAAACAGCACAGATACCACGCATTCTAATGCAAACAAATCCTTATGGGTCTTTAGCAAGTATTTTAGGCACTAGTACTTGCTTCTCTTGAAGGCTGGACCAACTAGCCCACTTTTTCAGCCTGATGCTCTTATCATCCGATGCAGCCCGATTCCTAGAAGCAGAAAGCCTTGGGTAGGAAAAGGAGCATCCCCACTGGATTTGTGAACTGAGGAGAACAGCACATAAAAATTTTCAGCACTGCAACACGCCTTCTGGCCCAAAGCATATGCTTTTCACCTATGAACTCATTTAATCGCTACTCCCTTCGCAGCTGCCAGGTGAATGCTTAATTGCACCACCACAATTACACTTCCTTTTGCACTCTCCCCTTCCAAGAACACAGAGCCAATCTGCACAGCCGTCGTAACTGTGGCAAACCTGTTGGAAGGCAGCTTGTACGGAAATGTTTTTCTGGCACAAAACTGCACACCAGGTGGGCAGTGAATTCCACTTGCGGTCATGCCTGTCCCCACACAATACACATGCCTGAGCCTGGACAGAGAAGCAGCAGCTTTGTCCTTAACGCAAGGGTTTTGTCAGCATGCTCTGATGGGAGGCAGCAAGAGCATTTGTACCCCCCTCCCCGGGATAAAGGACTCATATCTTGTCCCCCTCTGTATAGACAATAGTAGGCTGAAGGAGGAGCAAAGCAGCAAGGACAAACAGTGGTCATGACTCTCTCATCAAGGCGGTGTTCTGTTGGCCACTCCTGGCCAACAAAAACACCACTCAGCCTAACCTGTTGGAGGCCGATTCAGAAAACTCTGCAGGGTGTGAACCAAAACACACCTCAACCACAGTGTTTCGTCCACACCCAGTACTAATACAAACCTGGCTAGGGGAGTAGTCATTACAAACCATTGCCGAACCTAATTTTAGAAGCCCAATAGGCTCACCCTAATCTTCCCGAAGCCTGGACGGCTTCCATTACCAAGCATGGAGGGTCTCATGTAAAATGTCCATTCCAACATGCTGAGACACCCCAGCGCCTCTGTCCTGTACCCAAATCCAAGACAAGAAACGTGCGCCGTTTACTGCACTTTATGCAACAGACTGAATGCTCTCTCGACCCTCATGCAAGCAGCCCCAGGTCCAGTGCATGCAGCAGGGTGACGAGAAGGGTCCTTCCATGCTGTATGCATCAGCACTGTAAAGTGGCTGCAAAAAGGGCAAATGCATTAGCAGAAGTATCACTTTCAAATCACATGCAGTTCCTCTTTGCTCAGAACTGGGCAGGCCTCCTCAGGAGCACTGGGCCGTACGACAACGCTCCTTCTGACTTAGGGAGCTTGTGGGCTGCACCACACTAGAGGCGTTCACGATGTGGCTGGCCGACATCTGAAAGGGATGTTTGAACGTGGAGTCCTGCACAGAGCGGGATTCTGGTCCCTCCCAGCAATATTACTCTGTGTCTGAGCCTGCGCAGAATCACTCTCTTGCTATGGGAGTAAAATGCCACACCAAATACTAGGAAGAAATATACCACACACGTATACACTCAATGCTAGATTACAGTCTTGTTCTCTTATTTATCAGTCCCTGGTTGTTATCGCTTGGGCTGGTGAGCATGGAGCCTAATTCCATATAAGGGGATCTGCCCCACCAAGATTATCACGGGATGGGGCAAGAATGCGGCATTGGATGAAAAAGAAACCCCAGCAGGCTGGTTCCCACCACTGGGTCGTCCTGAAATGGAAGCAAATAAGGGAAGTGGGGAAGGAAAGCGTGGGATGAGTCCTAGGCAAGCAGGTGGGGTGGGAATGGGCCTAGAAGCAACCCCCACCGGGCTCAGAAAGGGCGAGAGAGAAAGCAGCGTTGCAACCTCCCTTGGGGCGCCTGAAAAGGAAACCAAAGCCTGGGAGTCAAGGGTGGGATCCACCGCAAACCGGCCTCTGGGGTGGGAAGGGGGCGGAGGCGAATCGCCCCCCCCGGGGCCCCCCGCCCCATCCCCAGGGCAGGGCGCGAAGGGGGCAACCAGCCCCACCAGGCGGGGGCTGCGAGGAGGGGAAAGGATTTCTCCCCCGGGCCAGGCCTGAGCAGAGCGAAGGGCAGGACCCGCATCTCGCCTCCCCACTCGGAGGGGGGGCAGCCACGGGCCAGGCAGGCTGCGCGCGGCCCCCACCTCCCTTCCCGGGGGGCGAGCCGGGCCCTCCCCTTGGGAGGAGACCCCCGCCCGCGCCCCCCCTTCCCGCGGGGGCGCCCGGTTGCCGGGCAACGCGCGCCGGGGCCGGGAGGGCACTTACAGGCCGCGCCGGCGTCCCTCCTGCCGCTCCCGCCCCGCCGGACCAGGCAGAGCCGCGGCCTCGCGCTGCTCCTCCTCCCGAGATGGCGGCGCGGCGCTTCCGCTTCCGCTTCCGGGGCGGGGCCAAGGCGGCCGGGGCGGGGCCAAGGCGGCCCGTCCGGCCGGGGCCTCCTCGCGAGCAGGGCCGGGCGAAGGCGGCCGGGTCGAGCGCCCCGGGCGGCGCCGAGCGGATTCCCGCGGCCAAGGGAAGGCCTACGACTCCCGGCAGGCCACGCCGGGAGTCGTAGGCCGTTTCCCCGGGAGACGCGCGCCTGGCCCGCCTGGCCTGGCCTGGCGCGAGAGGCCGTCGATGCGGGGCCGCCGCGGGGCGTCGGGGCGGGAAGCAGCCGCCTGCCTGCCTGCCTGCCTCGTTCCCACATGCATGCGCTGGTGCCGCGGTTGCATTGCATCCGGCAGCGCCGCAATGCACGCATCTGCGAACCGGTGCATGGATGCGGAAACCGAGGCGGGCCCTGCGAGTCAGTCCCGCGAACGGGGCGCCGCAAATGCCCCTCCAGTCCCCCCAGGGCGCCATGCTGCCTGCACGGACGGAACAGGTGCCGCTGGCATGGCCGGGCGCAGGGCCGACTTCACACGTGGGCCTGATGGGCACTGGCCCGTGGGCCCCGTGCTGATCTGTGTATGTGAACCCTTGGAAAATCGGAAAACTTCCAAAAATAACTAGTTGTAGTTGTCCTGGAGCCCCAGTACACTGCTTTCCCCGGGGCCCTTCGTGCTGTTGAGATGGCCCTGGCCAGGTGTCCTCCCGGCCGTGCCCTAAGAGCCTCCTGGAGTTGCTCCGGGTGCCTCCTGGGCACCCCTGGAAGTGCCCTTCTTCCTTGCTGCGCCCTTGGAATAAGCGCGGCCGGGCTTCGGCGAGGCGCGTCCGTCGTCGTGCCCCGAGTCCGGTCTTCCTATTGCTGCGAGGTTGTGCCTGGCCACAATCCCCGCTCTCTTGCTGGAAGAGCAACTCGTATTAAAAAGGTCGTCTGAAGCGTTGCCTCTGCATAGATCCCGACTCGGAACCTGTGGTCTTCTTGGGGGGTCCTTCTCCCAGAGCCTCTTCCAAGGGAAGCCCGGGGTGGCTACACAGGAGAAGGGCCTTCTCGGTAGTGGCACTGGATTTTGGAAATAGTTCCCCAAAGAGGGGTGCCTGGTGCCTATTTTGTATTCTTTTCTGTGCCAGGTGAAAATGGTCCCCCCCCCCCCATCCCCAGCATTTTAACCATCGACTTTTCAACTTTGTTTTTATAGATCTCCCATTTTATTTCTGTACAGCTGATGTGAGGTCCCCAGAGAGGGTCGCCTGGTGCCAACGCTTCTTTCTTTTCGGCGCCAGGTGGAAACCTTTTAATTCTCCCACTATTTGAATTGTTAATTTATCTTAATATGTGGTTTCACAGTTACATTTAATATTGGATGCTGTGCTGCTTTTACTTTATTTTTACCTTATTTTATTATTGTTATTGTGAACCGTCCCGAGATGTCTGTGATGGGACGGTATACAAAAGTTTTAAATAAATAAATAATAAATAAAATGCGCTGAATAGTTGCAATTACAGTTTCGTTCTAATTGTATTGTTGTGTGCAGGTTTTTAAAACTTTTGTTTGATTCTAAACAGATAAATAAAATGCAATCCGGAGGATGTTGTCCAGCAGCCCTCTCATCACCACCTCCTCAAAATTAGCCTTACACTGAAATGTATCTATTTATGAAAGCTTTTGTATACTGTTCATAATTAGCCACGGTCTCTGAAAGGTTTACAGTAAAAACGAGCGAAGTGCAACATAATAACAATAGAACATAAGTCATAAGACAGGGATAGATACCCAAATCTAATTAGATACAGATACATAAACAGTGAACAATAAATAGCAAACAGCCAACTACATTAAATTAAATTAACCCACGGTGGCCCAATTACATCATGAATAACATCCAGTATAAAAGTAGCATAACCACACTTAACAATTAAAATACTGGGAAAATAAAAAGGGTTTACCCTGGTGCCAGATTACATATAGAGACTGAGCAGCAGGCCCACATCTCTGGGGAGCTGTTCCCACAGTTGGGGTGCCACCACCAAGGAGGCCCTTCCCCTCACATCTTTTAAGGGTGGCTCCCAGAGAAGGACCCCATGGATAGAACAACCCTAAACAGCAACAGTTGTTATTAGAAATATAATAATAATAATAATAATAATAATAATAATAATAATAATAATAATAATATTAGAACAGAGGCAGATTCTGAATGCTCTTACAGTGTGAAGCTTCAGGAACAGAAGCCAAATTATCACTGCTATTAGCACCTCCATGAACAGAAACAAGTTGCTAATAAGATTTGTAGAACATGAGCAGAAGTAAGTTGTTAATATTTTTATTACCCACCCAAGACATGGGAGCAGGCTAATACTGGAATATTCTCCAAGCATGAGAACAGATTATTGTTACAAGCGCCACAAATGGAAACAGATTATCGTCATTAGCAATTCCTTGAACAGAAACAGATTGTTGTTCGTATTGATCTTGTTGTTGTTGCTACTAAAATCTCATGGCTGATGTTAAGAACCTCCATCTACTGAAGCGCATCATTTTTATTATCATCAGTACCCCTATGAACAGAAACACGGTGAGGTTTGTGCTCGAGAGCGACCTCTCCCTCTGTAAGGGTGTGGACCTGATTGTGTGGGTCTGCCCCCGGAGCCGGATGGATCCGGAAGGATTCCTGAAGGCCCTGGGGGATTTTCCGGCTGACAAGACGGGTGCTCCTGTCGAGGCTCTGGTCGAACTGTGGAGCAGGGAGATGACCAGGGCTGTAGACACGATCGCTCCTAAGCGTCCTCTCCCACCGGGCAGAGCCCGCTCTTCCCCTTGGTATACACCTGAATTGCGGGCGATGAAGCAGGTTGGGAGACAGCTAGAGCATAGGTGGAGGAAATCACGGGATGAATCTGACTGAACACACTTGAGAGCCCACTATTGGGCCTATGCTGTGGCGGTGAGGGCGGCAAAAAAGAGATTTTTTTCCGCTTCCATTGCCTCCTCACAATGCCGTCCGGCGGAGCTCTTTCGAGTGGTGCAAGGCCTGGTTCGTCCAGGTCCAAAAGAAGACCTGATTCCACCCTCAAAGGCCCGCTGTGATGACTTTGCCAGGCATTTCCGGGGGGAAATCGCTCAGATTCGTCACGAGCTGGATTCCACTATTGATTCAGAGGTTTTAAGGGAGATGCCAACGCCGCCGTCTGGTCCAGAATTATTGGATGAATTTCAGTTACTGCGGCCCGATGATGTGGACAAGGTACTTGGACGAGTACATCCCACCACTTGCCTTTTGGACCCTTGCCCGTCTTGGTTATTAAATAATTCCAAGCATGGATTGGGACCTGGATCTTGGAAGTGGTTAACGCTTCTCTGAGGGAGGGTCGGGTGCCTGCCCCTTTGAAGGAGGCGGTAGTCCGACCGGTCCTGAAGAAGGTGTCACTGGATCCAGAGATGGCCACTAATTATAGACCAGTGGCCAACATCCCGTTTCTGGGCAAGGTGTTAGAGCGGGTGGTGGCGGGACAACTCCAAGCACTCTTGGATGAAACTGATTATCTGGACCCATTTCAGTCCGGCTTCAGACCCGGGTACAGTACTGAATCTGCCTTGGTCGCCCTGTACGATGACCTGTGCAGGGAGAAGGACAGGGGGAGTGCGTCCCTGTTGGTTCTCCTGGACCTCTCAGCGGCTTTTGATACCATCGACCATGGTATCCTCCTGGACAGGCTTGCGGGATTGGGGGTCGGAGGCACTGCTTTGCAGTGGTTCCGCTCCTACCTCAATGGCCGGTCTCAGAAGGTGGTGCTGGGGGACTATGGCTCTGCGCCATGGCAGTTATGCCATGGAGTACCGCAGGGGTCCATTTTGTCCCCTTTGCTGTTCAACATCTACATGAAACCGCTGGGAGAGGTCATCAGGAGGTGTGGGCTGCGGAACCATCAGTACGCTGATGATACCCAGCTCTACCTCTCGTTCTCCACCAATCCAGGTGAGGCAGTGGCTGTACTGAACCGGTGCCTGGCCGAGGTAATGGACTGGATGAGGGCCAATAAACTGAAGCTCAGTCCAGACAAGACGGAGGTCCTGTTGGTTGGCGGATCGGGCTTCGGAAAGGGTGAATTGAACCGTGTCCTGAACGGGGTTGCACTCCCTCTTAGGGACAAGGTCCGCAGCTTGGGAGTGCTCGTCGACCCGGAGCTTTCACTGGAAGCTCAGGTAACAGCAGTGGCGAGGAGCGCTTTCCTCCAGCTTCGGCTGATTCATCAGCTGCGCCCCTACCTGGAGTACGACTGCCTTGCAACAGTGAAACATGCGCTGGTGACGTCCCGTCTTGACTTCTGTAATGCGCTCTACGTGGGGCTACCCTTGAAGACGGTCCGGATACTTCAACTGGTTCATAATAGAGCTGCCAGGCTGTTGACGGGGACGGGGCGTTATGCTCACATGACTCCAGTCCTCCGACAGCTTCACTGGCTTCCCATTGAAGTCCAGGCCCAATTCAAGGTGTTGGTGATGATCTATAAAGCCCTAAACGGCTTGGGTCCTGGTTACCTGAAGGAGCGCTTACATCCATACATGCCCAGCCGCCCCCTGAGATCGGTGGGAGAGGCCCTTCTCCGGGAACCCTCCGTGAGAGAAATTAGGAGGGTGGGTACTCGGAGGAGGGCTTTCTCAGCAGTGGCGCCTAAGTTATGGAATGCGCTCCCCAGAGAGGTCCGCCTGGCGCCGTCGTTATTTGTTTTTCGGCGCCAGGCAAAGACCTTTTTATTTAAGCAGCATTTTAAATGTTAATATTATTGAATTTTATCTGGCCAGGGTGGCTTATTTTATACTGTATGTATTTTATTTTAATGTTTATATTTTTAATTATAATTATTTAACTAATTTGTTGGAAGCCGCCCCGAGGCTTCGGCGAATGGGGCGGCATAAAAACGTTTTAATAAACAAATAAAACAGAGTATTGCCAGAACCATGATGCAAAAAAAAGAAAAAGCCAATTGTGTGATTTATATTATTTGTGCCATTCTATTATGAGACATCCCAGGTACAGGTGTTAGCTCTGGGAAGCTCGAGGGCTCCCTCTGCTGGTCCCAGGCTACCGACCCTGGGGTTTGCAGGACTGGCCCCACGCCCTGCCGCAGCTGCCAGGCCTTGATGAGCAGCACCTGGAGCCCTGGGGGAGAGCTGTTTGAGAGCCGGCTCTTTTCTCCAGAAGTTCTTTCAGCGTTGCAGGCCTGCTCGGTCCTGGAGCTTCCCCCTGTATTTTGCCAGGTTTTTTACCTGCTTTGCCTCTCCTTGCTTTATTTTATCCTGCCTCGATGGCCACACCTTGCTGCTTGCTGGGCCAGACTGCTCAAAGGTACCTGCTCTTTGCTCTGTTGTTCTCTGGGTTGTTGGCCTTTGGCTTGGTTAGGGCTGGGAACAGAACATTGTTTTTACCTGTATCCTTCTCAGCAGCACTTCTCTACTGCCTCTTATTGAACAAATCTTGATGCATGTTCTGTGTTTCTATCTTACAAAGGTGCACAAAAATGGACTATAAATGTAACAAAGAAAAGAGGAAAGGAATGGTGCAGGGCATTGGTTCTGGGAGACTTCACAGCTGGGGAAAAGCCAAAACAAACAGATACATTTTCAATGTATGCCTGAATTATGCTTGAGGAAAGTTCTTGTACAGGGTGGCTTGCGATGGAAAAGCTTGGACTCCATCCATCTCCATCACTGCCAAATGGACTCAGTCTTGGTGTTTTGATCAGCAAGTGTTTTGGAGTCCTGATTGTGTGTGTTTAAAGTCTATTTAACCGCATCTGTTTTCAATACCATTTTAAGAACCTTATTCTGCTTCTTTTGCTTTCAGGCTATGGGTACTTTGTGTATTCCAAATCTTTCTTCCAATAGGAAGGAGAATGGAAACAAGGAAAAAAGCATTTATTTATTTATTTTTCGATTTATATCCTGCCTTTTTCCTACAAAGGGCTCAAGGCAGCTTGCATCATTCTCCTCCTCCATCTTATCCCCACAACAACAACCCTGCGAGGTAGGCCGGGCTGAGAGTCTGTGACTGGCCCAAAGTCACCCGGTTGGTTCCATGGCCGAGCGGGGATTCGAACCCAGATTGCCTGCTGTTCTACATGAATAAGTGTGGATTGTTGTATGCATTAAAATAAAATAAAACTACAAGACCTACCCCAAAAATAAAACCTAGTGTTTTTGTGAGCAAAAAAAAAAATAAGACATTGTCTTATTTTTGGAGAAAGATGTTAGAAACACCTCAACACTCTCGTAGCACATTTTTCTTTAAGTTGTCTCTTTCAAGGTAATCGTACTCAGAGCTGAAATGGTGCACATGATCTTCTAGGGCAGCTTGTTGCATTAATTCTGGGGCCCCTGAACCAAGTTGGCAGGTGGGTGCCCTTATTGCAGGCGATGCACAGATGTCCTTGGCAATATGGACCATGACGCATGGTCCATATTGCAGCTATCCGGGGGGTGGGGGGGGGGCTGAGTCACTGTGCCACACTTCTTCCCAAAGGTGTAATGGTCACTAATATAACCAGTATATTATTGCTATTTATTCCTTTTACATGTTTGTTCAACATTGTTTATTTTATTAATTTATTTATTCTTTATTTGTTTATTAAAACATTTTTATGCCGCCCCATGCGCCAAAGCCTCGGGGCGGCTTACAACACTAAGCTAAAATAATTATAATATAAATCAAAAATATAAATATTAAATTAAAAATACAAAAATACAGTATAAAATAAGCCGCCCTGGCCAGATAAAATCCAATAATATTAACAGTTAAAATGCCTCTTGAATAAAAAGGTCTTCGCCTGGCGCCGAAAAACGAGTTTGAGGCACTGTGTGTGTGGTTTTTGTGCTCCTCTTTTATCCCTGCAACAATCCTGCAAGTCAAGCTCCCCTGATGAATCTCATGGCAGAGCAAACTTTGAAGGATCGAAAATTATATTATTTCTTTAGGCCTCTCTTTGCTGCTTTTGACTTCACCTTTTCGTGGTTAGGACAGGGTTGTCCATTCCCATTCCAAAACTGGAAGCAGAGAAACCCAGCCTTGCAGGTTGTCTGCTGCTGTATTTCCAAAGAGACAAGATATTTCTGGTGGCAAGATATTTGTACTATCGCCCATTAGATGGCAGAAGTGTGATAGCAACATTCACATCTTGTGTCTGCCTGAATGGACTCCGAGCCCCCAAAGCTTATACCATCATTGACTTTTGTGTTCTAAGCTTCTGCAGCTTTTTCTTGGGCTGCTTTTCTCTGGAAGTTACATGCAGGTATCAGTCCTGAGAAGTTTCTCTATGCTCAAGGCACAGTGGTGTAAAAGACCAACCTGGCCATTTCTTAGTGAATTGACTTTAGTGAACAAGAAAGCAAGTTCCCAGGTTAATTACGTCCTTTCATCATGCACCAGATGTAATATTCTTTGGAACTTTAGTCTTTACGAAGGAGTTATGTAAATTAAGTGATTAATAAAATAAGGCTGTAGTTATAACTAAACCTACAGGGGAATACATTCACGAATCTCAATATGCCGGTCTTCTCAGAAGATGGTGTGCCCGTCTCCTTATCCATTTGATAATCTAATTGATTCCAGTTCCCCTCCCTCATCTCTAGCCCACTAGGGTGCTCAAAATTTCTGGGACAGACTTGCCTGTGGTTGAGAATATATTTTATTGGTTATTTCTTCCTTCCAGGTCATGGGGAATTGCTATTTAAGGATGGGAGTTATTATGAAGGCAAGTTTGCAGATGGTGAAATTACAGGCAATGGATTCCGATACTGGACAACTACAGGTTAGAACTTGGTGGCTGAAAATGCAGTGTGCATTGTAAGTCAGGGCTGGGAAATGTGTGGCCATTCAGTTTCTACCCACCCCATAAGTGGTGGGGTCAACAACAGAACATGGAAGCCGGGGGTCAGACTAGATGGCCTAGGAGGCTCCTTCCGACTCGCTCTGTTTGTATGTTTCTATGGAATGCTTCCTTCACTGGGCCCATTCCCTGCTCCCTCCAACATGTTAGCGTTCCATGGCCTCGCTGGGCCATTTGGGGTTCCCTGCCCCCCGAACGGCCTGGGGCCAGGATACCTGAAGGAGCGCCTCTTCCCTTACATGCCCTCACGCCCCTTAAGATCTGTGGGGGAAGCCCTGCTCCGGGAGCCCTCTTTAAAGGAGACCAAAAGAACAACTACCCAGAGCAGGGCTTTCTCTGCGGTGGCACCCAGATTATGGAACGCGCTCCCTGGAGAGGTACGCCTGGCACCAAGTTTATATTCTTTTTGGCGACAGGTTGAAAGCTTTTTATTTAATGGCTATTTTAAAAACTAATATTTTATCGTTAACAGTCACTTTTAAATTTTTGTTTTTGTTTATATAAAATCTTTAAGGAATTTGTGTTATTGTTTTTAATTGTATGTGTTGCGAGCTGTCCCGAGATGCTGAGGCATGTGATGACGGCATATCAAAGTTTTAAATAAAAATAGAGGGGTGTTCACCGGATCCCTTGTGCCATAAGCTGGGACTGCGCTTGCCTCTGTAGTCTAGTTGACCCCGCGTTCTGCATATGCAGCGGTCCTCGCAGGATGCTGTTTGTTTATTTAAAGCATGTCTCTCCCATCCATTACTGGACCTTACAATAAGCATCCAATTTAATTGCTATACAATAAACCCCCACATTAAAATCACACTCAGCCTTAAAATACTGGTAAAATAAAAAGGGGTTGGCCTGGCACTGAGAGGAATAGTGTTGGCGCCAGGCTACCCCCTCTAGGGAGCATGTTCCATAATCGGAGCCACCACAGAGAAGGCCCTGCTCTGGGTAGCCGCCGTCCTAATCTCCTCCAAGGAGGGCTCTCAAAGAAGGACCTCCAGCCAGATCTTAAGGGGTGGGCAGGCACAAAGGAAGGAGGCATTCCTTCAGATATCCAGGTCCTAAGCTGTTAAAGGTTGCAGTGACTTTAAATAACCAGCTGAACCTGGGGCTACGTGTGGGATTCAGCCCCTGAGGGACCCCTGTTGACCTGGGGTTGAGGCTACTTCATTCCTCCTGCCCCCAAAGTTTATTACCTCATTCCAAGATGGTTCTGAAGCCCACATAAAAAGGGCGGTCTGTATTTTTCCGTATTCCTTCCGTGTCTCGGGCTGGCCCATTGGATTGCTTCATTTCTTGTAACCTTTTTGCAAGAGATGTCGCCAGGTAGACATCAATGTGTTGTCTTTGTATAAATAATTGCAACGGAATGCACGTCCCTCCCCATGTTCTGCGAAGCCACAAACAGTTCTGACCTTTTCATCTCCATCTGCTGTTGAGACAATGGGATGAAATGTGCATACACATGTAAGCATTTTTCATCAATCTAATGCCAATTTCATGTCCGGTTTCACATTGTGCTTAATTCCAGCATTGAAAGATTTTGGCTGGTAGCCATTTGTTGTCTGAGGAGTGGGCTAAGCAACCTGATTTTGAGCAGGAGTCCTTTGAACTAAGTTTCACTTGTTCCAGGGACTTCAGGGTATAACTTTAACTGTATTTGTAGTGCTCCACTTCTGTTCTCCGCAATGAATTTTTTGAATGACTGTGCCATCAAAATGCTGCTAAGTTGACTGTGAAATGGAAGTACTTCGTACTCAACCCTTAACCATAAAAAACATACTATGATTTTTTTCTCTTTCTTTTAATGTGGCACTAATGTCTTTTAAGATACCTTGGTTTTAAAGACCGAAAGGAATACGGATTACGATTCCATTAGTTTATAAGATAAAGTGAACACTCCCTTTATTCTTCACTAAGCTGCCATGATCATAAAGAAGCAGCTGATAATTATTCACTTGTAATGCCTCGTATGAGGAAAGGCTCAGTCAAAATCTTTATTGGAACACCAAGGATTATTAAGTGCATTTTTCAGAGCGATTTTCTATCTGCATTTTACTTTATCGTATATTTGATTCAAGGGAGTACTTACTCTGGCCAGTTCCTCTTTGGTGAACTCCATGGGCATGGAATCATGCAGTATGCAGATGGTGGAAATGTGAAGGAGTTCTCCTTTGGGGTCCAGGAAGGTAAGTGGAGTGTCCAGGCAGTGGCTATGAGATGCGGGTTGACCTTGTCCGTCGATTGGGGTATTGCTAATTATGATGGAGTGGAGCACAAACGCATCTTGCCCAGAGCACCAGAGCCTTTCCTTGAGTGATCCACACTGAAATAGAGGTGTCCTTGCATTTACAGGACTTCTAGACAGGTGGCTTCTAGCACTGCAGATCCGAAGCCACTGCAGAAGTATTGCACCTTTTTCTCAACAGGTTTTCTGCAAGGGGAAAAGGCGGAAGCCTGGGAGAATTGCTCAGTGGGAGGACACTGTTGTCCAGCCAGCTCAGAAAATTCCACAGATGGCAGGGAGATGGCACAGTGAATGCTTTATCTGAAAGTACCTTGTGTCTTAAGATAATTTGCAGGCACTGTGTGGAGTGGTGTGTTAATTTTAATTTAAATTAATCTGAGACATTTGTAGTGGACGGGTTAGAAGAGCTTTTAATAATAGATTCTGTCTTATGGTTGTCTCAGCTCTGGGGGTTTTTGATTAAGGCCCCAGTGCAATTAGAAGCACTTGCCTTGCTTCCAGAGTTGTTTCTGCATTTCCAATCACACCAAATCCCCCTATTTTTTTTAAACCCACTTTCCAAACCTGGAAGAGCAGTGCATTCATTCCACAGCCCATAATATTCCAGAGAGCCCTCAGACGGTCAGGAGTAGATTTTGGGAGCATGGAGCAGAGCTTCAGCGGACAGCAAGGATGGGTGACGGTGGGAGTTGGCTTGTGTTCGCAGGCGCTTCCTGGGTTGTGTAGAAGCTCCTCTGAATGCAGGTTGCTGAACTGAAGATGCTTGGAGTAGAAATGGCTTTGGGTGTCTCGTCATGCGGGCAGGGGCATTAAGGGGTCCAGTGTGCCGCCACTTTGCTTAATACAAGGAGGGGCTTATATTCCTCCCCAGTGTTCAGACAGGTAATCTTTTCCAGACATAAGACCTTGTGCATCTATGAGAAGACAGCTAGGTGAAAACATTTCTCTTATCCACCCATTTTAATTGGATTCCAGTTGGCTGGGATAAAACTATCCTAATAAAATAAATAAATTGAATTTAGGTGTTTGTTTTTACTGGGATTTTAGTAAATCAGTGTGGTTGTCTGTCTCACCTTGGTACGCATTAGAAACAGAGTGAGTCAGAAGGGGTCTCCCGGGCCATCTAGTCTGACCCCCGGCTCCAGCTGGCTCCATTCATGACATACCTACCATGGGCATGTCCAGCCTATCCTTAAACACCCTCACTGTTATTTATTACTTTTAATGAAGGCTTTTAATGTTTTGCAATTTTTGGCTTTGTTGTGCACAGCCTAGAGTCTCTCTGAATAATTCGCAGCCTGTAAATGCAGAAATACATAAAATGGAAGGGTTCCACTCTGAGTTGGGCAAAGAAGCATAGAGAGCAGGACATACCAGTGCAGTAGATGGGAAAACGGGGGGTTGTTTTTAGTTCTACATTGGGCAGGTTTGCACAACATGTTAAGCTACCCTGCAAACAAGCCACAAGTGTGTGTGTTTGCTGCACAACCCGTGCTGTGCCCAATGGCTGTTGCGCTCGCTGTGGATGGTTCTCCCCCTCCTTCCCCTGCCCCCCCCCCCAGCCAGTTGTTTCTTTTTATTATTTATTTGATCCGTCCGCTGCACCATTAGCCATCGACTCTCCAGGCAGCTCACAACATAATATACCAGCACCATATTGTTCCTAATGTAATTTTATCTGGTTTTATATTAAGTGATGCCATTGCTTTATGAAGTGCTTTCCTTGTCTGTTAGGTGCCATGGTGAAATAGGCAGCATATAAATATTTAAATATCATATCCTCTGTGGCAGGACTCATCATGGCTTCCTCTCCCTGCTCCATGGGCTTTTGCTTTTTATTTGCTGATAGCAGGAATCAACGCCTCAAATATTTGTCTGAAGACGGCACTGTTCAAAAAAACCAACTCATTTTTGTTGGGCCTTTGAAGGGCATGCTTACAGCTGTCTGATATCTGGTCAAGTTCCCTGTCTCTTTCAGTTGTCAAAGGAGGAAATGTGACTATGACCTGTAGACCAACTTTCTTATGGTTTCAAAGGACCAAATCCCAAGCTGTCGGTGGGAAAGCACCTGTAAAAGAAGGCAAAAGAAGTATCAAAGGTGTACCAAAAGCAAGGTGGAGAGAACCCTGTTGCCCACAATGGAACCCTCTTGATTTACGGGTTGACCTGGTAATTTCCAGTGTCCTTTTCATACTTCCTCGAGGCGGCACATACTCTAGAAAGGGGAACTAACAGCTTCCCTTCCCTTCTTATTCAGTGCAAGTACTTACAGGTATACAAATTTCCCCTCCTTTTACTTCCCAGCCCTTAAATTGGCACGCATTTCTTCTCCATTTACTTCTCAACCTTTAAATGTGTGTGTCTGTTTCCTTTTTAAAGAAATGGTCAGGTAAACCCAGTCACTGCAGTGGGAACTGCTCTGAAAAAGCAGTGGGAATTCACATCCTTCCTTTCTAGCCTAGCTAGAAGACTTGGGGAAGTCTGGAAAAGGTAGCAGACATGGACAACTGTCAATTCAACAATAGAAATCCAAAGGATCACATTGCTTTGGGTTCATTTTTTGGAGCTTCCACTTCCACCACTTCCGCCTTTTACTGGTGCTTTTCCATTGTCAGCCAAATAAGATACATCCCGAATCACACCTTTTCTCAGGCCTTGGAGAGAGAACCACTGAGGAGCAAGCGAAGGTTATCTCAGTGTCGTTTTTGGCACTGGCGGACGGGTAGTTGTTGGCAAGGCTGCAAAAGCTTCTGGCAGGAAGTTTTGCCAGTTCTGTTAAGCAATTCTTCTCAACACATGAGGAAGTTGTCCTGAAGGGTTTGGATAATGTGCAACAACCCATCCTGGACAAGAGTAAGGACACAAAAACAAGCTGGGTTTTGTGGAAAATAAGCCACCCTGCAAGGATTGTGCTGGGCTGGGACAACGTGGAGGCGATGTGGGTCAAGAAGATGTCTTCCCTCTTCTCTGTTTCCTGTTCTTTTGTAGGTTATGGGCTACTGACAGACTAAGATGGACAACTGTGTGAAGGATGCTTCCATAACAAGAAAAAACACAGGGGGATCTGTTGGCGACATACAGGTATGTGAGGGGATGTCACATGGAGATGGGTAGAAACCTGTTCTCCCCGAGGAGGAAGGCAGAACACACTCCAACGGAGCAAAGCTCAGGGAACCAGGGTTCAATTTGGATGCCAGGAAGCACTTCCGGACAGTCGGGACCCCGAGGGTGTGGAAGGGGCTTCCACGGGAGGTGGCTGAGGCCCCATCGGTGCGGGTGTTCAAGGATAGGCTGGACGTGCACATGGCGGGCATGTCGTGAGCGGAGCCGGCTGGCGCCAGAGGTCAGACTAGATGGCCCGGGAGGCCCCTTCTGACTCTGTTTTCTATGTTTCTATGAAAAATGCTTTTCAAGTAAGCTTGACCTGTAACCAGGTTGGCTTGATTCTAAGTCGGGACTGTTCAAGGAGCTACAGCGAAGTCCTGTACATACCTGGGAGGGCCAAATGAAACCCAGAGCAAAGTCAGGCTGAGTGAGTCAGGGCAGGACTGATTAGCAGGATCCTGAAAGAGGCAGCGGTCTTGGCATGGCGGGGACCGTAGCTGCAACGGCACTTTTGTGTCAGCTGTGGTGGTCGTGCAGAGGTACCTCAGCCGGATCAGAACAACTGTGTCTGAGAAGGTTTCTTTGCTTCTTGACTTCTTTGTACAATGTACAGTTAACAGTGGAATGTGCCACCACAGGAAGTAGGGATGGTCACCAGTCTGGGTGACTTTAAAAGGGGATTGGACAGATTCACAAGGGAGGAGGCTATCCGTGGCTACTAGCCTTGCTGGCCATAGGCTTCCTCCTTCCCCAGAAGGGGGCTGCCTGCACACGCCAGCTGCCGAGGAGCTTGGGCGGGAGGAGGTCTTGCACCCATCCTGCTGGAGGGATCCTGTGGGCAGCTGGTTTGCCCCCATGAGTATGGAGTGCTGGCCTGGATGGACTTTTGGTCCAGTCCAGCAGAGCTTTTCTTACATTCTCCAGTGGCCGGATAAAAATGATCCCCATTCCCCAGGCTGATGTTTGGCCCAGGAGAGAAGCTTCCATGTGCACCAATGAGAACCTGCATCCAGAAAAGATGGAGGAGCTGTTCGTTAAGGACACTTGTGATCTAGGCGATGTTAGAAGGTGCCAGGACTTCCTCAGTGTGCCTTCTAGTCGGGGTTCGTACATCAGCTGCAGCCTTGCCTGGAGAAGGCTGGTTTGGCTTCAGTCATCCACCCTTCAGGTACATCCAGGCAGGAGTATCGCAATGCCCTCTCTGCTGTTCAAAAAGTCTTTAGAAGATGCGGCTGGTCCAGAACAGAGACTCCTGTTCGGACTCATGACTTTACTTATAGCAAAGAGAATATTACTGTACTTCTGCATCAGCTCCATTGTCTGTCTGTCTGCCTGCTTCCAGGCTCCATTCTAAGTGCCGGTACTAATCCTTAAGTGGTTTAAGACCGGGTTATCCACGTTCTTCCACATCGTCCCACCCAAGACCTCAGATCAGTGCTGGAGGTCTTGTTCTCAGTGTGATATAAGGGAGCCAGTGTGGTGTAGCGGTTCAGAGCATGGGACTAGGACTCAGGCGATCCGGGTTCTAGTCCCCGCTCAGCCATGGAGCCAACTGGGTGACTCTGGGCCAGTCACAGGCTCTCAGCCCAGCCTACCTCACAGGGTTGTTGTTGTGAGGATAAGGCTGAGAGCAGGAAGGGGAGAATGTTAGCTACTCTGAGCTGGTGGCAAGAAAACAGCAGGACGTAAATCAAATGAATAAATTCTTGGCTGTGAAGCCTCCAAACCATCGAAGAAATTTATTCTGGCTGTTCTTCTTTTTTTAGAAATGGGGACAAGTTTGAAGGAGACTGGATTCAGGACCAGAGACAAGGACATGGAGTGCTCCATTGTGGGGACAGAAGCGTATAATATGAGGTATGCATGTAAGAGTCACAACACTGCATAGGGCAAGGAGCCCCTTCCCATCATGTGGACCCACTGTGAGATTCCCGTTTAGAATGAGGCATTAGGCTTCCTTGCCGTTGGGCTTCCCCATGTCCAGGAATCTCTTCCCAGCTTTCCGCCTGACCTAGAGCATGATGCTTACAGCCTCAGGCAAGCTTCCAGGCTTTCCTTCCCTCATGGAAACCGGACTGCAAGCGCTCCGCTCGCTCGCTTTGGTGCCAGAGCATTCTGGGCCTTCACACCTGCTCTCCCAGTCAGTGTGGAGCGCTTCCGCGCCACAAGTACAGTGTAACTTATCATTTAAAATCGTGCCGCTTCGGGCGTAGCGCTGCATAATTCGTGATGGCTCGTTGGCTGCTTTCAGGTTTATGAGTGGATTCTATTCGGACTGCTAAAGCGGAAGAATTAAAACTTCTTTCTGGCAGGGGTTGGCTTGTGTGAGGGGCAATGCTCAGCAGAATGTCTGAAGCAGGGGGATTGGGGCAAATAAGATTTCTGGGGGACGGCATAAGAGCTCCCGTAGCATCTTCGATTTCCGGGCCTCATGGCAGCCACATGGGTTATGCCGGTGAAGCAACTGCGGAGTTGGACATCGCCGTTGTTGCTTTTGCTGTAGTCACACAGCGCACAGAGCCATGACAATCCCAATTTCTCAGGATTCGAGCTGCTGCTGTTGTCTCTTCAGGGCAGAATCCCCGGTGTACAGGCTGGGCATTGTGTGGAAATGTAGGATGGTCTTCGGTCTCCGCATACAGAGGATCGGTTCCTCGTGGCTTTTGGCTGCAGTCTTATATCCAGCTATTCCCTACTGACCTGGGAATAGGGCTCCTTGAACTTCAGTTTAGCCAAGCGTGTGATTCTGCTGCCCATGAAGCTCCCTTCCCTGTTCTTCTCTCCTTTTCCACACTTTTCTTCTGCATGCACGTTCCTTTCCTATTGTCAGCATGTCATAACATGGATTGATAGAATGGTGTTGTATCCGGCATATCAGCAAAGTTTCTGTCCTTTTTGTCTCACTTCTCCAGCCCCAAAACACAGCTTTGGGGAGGGATCCACTTCTCGGTTTTGATGTTGATGGCAATGCTGCAATTCTAACCAGGAACAATTCATTGCAGCCACTATTTGCATATTAATAGTTTATCGGAAAAAGCATTAAATTCGGACTGGGAATAACCAAGAGCCATCTTGTCTGTAGCTCTCCCCTCTAGGTTCTAACTGGGGTGGATGAACCTGTGTCCCAAGCTGTGTTGCCGGGCAGCTAGAAAGGTTTCACATATCATGCCATACAGAAAACTTGCCTTTATTAGGTTTTGGAAGGTGCAATGAATAAAGAGAACCCAGTTCCGCTGGCCAAATGCCTTTTTTAAGTTGACCAAGTTGGCCAGCTGACCATTTGCAATGTTGAAAAGCTCGTTAGGTGCCGTCAAATTATCTTCAACGTATGGTGACCCCATGATTGGAAGCCCTCTAAGATGTCCTGTCCTTGACAGTCATGCTGAGCTCTTGCCAACTCAAGGCTTGTGGCTTCCTGGATGGAGTCCATCCGTCCCATAGTTGGTGGTCTTCTGCCTTCAACTTTCCCTAGCTTGGTTGTCTTCTCTAGGGAATCTTCTGGCCTTCCCATGATGTGCCCAAAGGAGGACAATCTCAGTTTTGTCACTTTTGCTTCTAGGAAAGTTCTAGTTTGATTGGATCCAGACCGCCCCCCCCCCCGACGCCCGTTCATCTTTCCGTCAGTCCAGGGCATTTGCAAAGCTTCCCTCCAGCGCCATGTTTTGAACTCACCCAGGTTATTCCTCTCCACTTGCTTCACTGTCCAACTTTCGCATCTCTACATAGTGATTGGGAATTCTGTGGTGCAGAAGAACCTGGCCTTGGTTTCCTTAAATTTGACTTTCTTTTCTAGTTTGCGCATTGCTGTCCTTCTAAGTGTCCACCTTCTTGTCGCTTCTTGACCACAGTCCCCCTTGGAATAGACAATTAAGCCAAGCTAATAAAAAATATCTCTCACAAAGTCCATGTCTTTGATGACCATAAAAATAATTTTTTAAAAATATATGCTAACCAATTAACCAGGCATAGCTTTTTGATCAATTGGAGAATGTATCCTTAATGCCTGATTTTACCAATTAATGGCTAAATATTGCATCTCTAATAATATTTTTAAAATTTCCATAGTTAATCTGAACATAGTCTGGGATACTAGTGTGCTGTCTTTACTTTTTAGCATGTTTATGTACTGTAAACACTTCTTACGCTAAATTGGCTTGGGTTTGGTGGTTCTGTATTTTCCTGGGCCTTCTCTCCCGCCCCCACTGGTCACCTGCGCTCTTTGGCTCCCTCCTTTCTGTCTCACCTCAGTTCGGTGGATGTTCTTATAGCCATAACAACACATGGGCTTGTCTGGTCTCATTGCCCTGAACATGTTGAAGTGCCATCCATGCATGATGATATAGGAAATTAAAAATTGGGCCCCTGCTGCTGATCTGTCTGTCAAATCTCTCTGTGCATATATACATATGTGCAAATATACACGCAGAGAGAGCTGACCTGGTGTGCTCGCATCTATGCAGAGAGAATCTCACGGTGAGATGCAGGACCTCCCGACATGGACCTGTTCTGTCTTAGCAGGCTTGCAAATTAGGGGCGATCTGGAGACGGCATTTGAAGTCTGGTTTTAGAGGTATAAAATGTGATTCATAACTCAAGCTAGGGAGTGTTTTTACTGCCTTTTAGATCCAATTGCCATACAGGGGAAAACATATTAGGTCACACCATGACTAAAGACCTCCCTTTAGAAAGACCTTTGAATTATATATCTGTCAGTCCTGTTCTGAACCTTAATCTTTCTGATTCGTCTTTGACACCAACTTTTGTTCTGTTTGATTTGGAATGCTCTTGTATTCTGGAGAAGAGCCTGATGCTGGGAACGATTGACAGCAAAGGAGAAGGGGATGGCAGAGGATGAGGTGGCTGGGTGGGGGCAGTGGGTGTGAGCTTGGGTGGACTCCAAGGGATGGTGGAGGACAGGAGAGCCTGGAGGAATATTGTCCCTGGGGTTGTGATGGGTCAGGCATGACTTTGCAACTGAACAACAACAACCTCTCATACAATCCTGACTTTCGGTGTTATTTCTAAACTGATTTTTCTTATTTAAAACTTTCCTTATACCATCCCGCACTTGGATGTCTCAGGATGGTTTCTTCTGCTAATGTGCTTCTTAAAGTTTTTTTTTAAACTGATGAAGATTCGTTCATATTTAAGTGCCTCGAACTCTTGGAGAACAACAGGGTGAAATTATTTTGAAAAAAATGATGGTTATCATCCTGGGGCATTAAGCTTTTCTGCTCAGACCGGTCTCTGTTTCTGACATGACTATTTGGAACTCAACAGTGATGAAACATTACCCAAAACAGTGTTTTTGAGAGAGTGCTAATTGGTGATAAAGGAGGAAGAACTTCCATACTTGGTTAGGTCTTGCTTCTTGCCACTTGATGGCTCTCTAGTATTTGCTTAGAAATGGGCATCCTTTAGAAATGCTCTCGGTTTCTACTTAGGCAGCAGTTCGACTGGAAAGTTGTTCTGGGCTCACCAAGCCCAAAGGTCGCTGGGGGAAGGAAGGGAAGGGACCAGGGTCCAACGAAGGCTTGTGCGGAGACACGGACACTGCTGCTGCCTCTGCGCAGCGATTCTGAGCAAGTGGAACAAAGGCTGGGCCGGCGTGAGAAGCTTGGGAATCTGGCCTGGGCAGGGTGTCTCCCAGTTTTCGCTTCCATGTATGGCAAGCCGGAAGGACCAAACAGGGACTGGGATAACCTTTCTCTTTTGGAAAGCCCAAGTCATTCTGGACTTTAGGTCCCAGTGGAGGCAATTGTCGAAGGTTACTAATTAACATCACAGAAGAAAAAAAATCTCAGTGTACAACATCAGACTTCCCATGACTGATAATATTATTTCTTAGATTAATATCTCATCATTGCTCCAAGGAGTTGCAGGCAGCACACACAGGCCTTTCTAATCCCCATCTTAAGCTCAGAACAACTCTGAGCTGGGTAAGAGAAGGATTGTAGGTCAGCAGTCAACTTTTGCAAGACCTTTCTGGCCAAGCAGAGATTTGAACCTGGGTTTCTCTGGTCCTTGTCCAAGCCTTCTAACTGCTAGATTTAGACCCACTGGCAATAGGTTCAGGAACAGACAGAAGAAAGTGCAGCTTCAAGTTTTGAAATTCACGACCAAAACGGTGATGGTGGGCTTAGATGGCTTTCAAATGTGACTTGGGAGGGAGAGAGGAAGTGCATTCCTGCTAGATGGTTACCGGCCTTGATAGCTAAATGCAGTTTTCTCTTGTAGAAGCAAGTGTCCTTTTCAGGACCAGATGGGGAAGACCAGTCAGCTGGGTGACCGTTGCCTTCAGGCCATTTCCTGAGCTTCCAGGGGCTTTGGTTGGCTGCCGCTGGGAGTCGAATGCTTCATCGGAGGAGCCTTTGGCAGGGGGGCCATCAGGGTAGGACTTGGAGGCAGAAGTCTGGGGAAGAATTGACCCTATTAAAAATGCCAGGGATTGAACATTCTGGCTAGCCATCCAATTTACTTAGGGTGGAACTGGGGAATGGTCAAGTACTGGTTGCATCTCTCCTCTCACTTATGTCCATGAGACCAAGGGCTTGGATGCCAGTTGAAACTAGACATTGAACGTTCTTATATTCACAATGTCCACCTTTGCTAAAGCAAAAAAAAAAAAAAAAAACCATTTGAAAATGCGGCATAGTCTTTTTTCTTTGCTTTAAATTCCTTGACGTGGGGAACCAAGGGCTGTGCTTTCTTGGCCCATGCAAGCCAGCCAGAGATTGTCTTTGCATGTGTGTAGAAAGACCTCTTGTTCCTTATCGCTGAATAACCGTGACCCTCTACCCTGCCGTTGGCAGGGTATCAAGAAGCAATGAGATTCTTCGAACTGCAGACAA